CAGATGTCTATGAAAAGGATGAACAGACTATGCAAGTAGCAGAGCCACGCACTACAGCACCAAATTCAAAGTGAAACAGAAGCCTATGGGGAGAAGAACCCTTGGATTCAGGAAGGGAGTGGGGGCTGCAGACCCAGACCATGGACATCGACTTGGCTTTTAATATGTTTAATTAAATTGGGACTAAACTCCCTTTGTTTTTGTACCTACAGGTAAGCCTAAATGTGCATCATTTAGGAGATATTTACATGTGTAGAAGCTGGTGACGTCACCGGCGCATGAGGACTGTGCTCTCAAAGGATGGCATTTTATCCATTAAAGTTATGTCATGGCCGTGACTTCTGCATGCATGCGATGGAGTGATGTCATCGCGGCTCGGCCATTCAAATGAACCCGAAAAGGAGAACAGGTGAAGATGGATTTCGTCAATGGTGACAGGGTGCCACTGAAGGGAACTGTTTTGTAGGCAAGTCTGCCATAATGTGCAGTATGCAATGCATTTTTTTTTTCTTAATCAAAGTGCCTGAAAGAAAATCTGTGGCCTATACTGTAAAGTCTAACCAGATTCACCCCTTCCTTCTTCAAACATGGACAAATTTGATTGTTTGCTATAAGCAAGACAGACAACTCTGCTCTTATACACTGATAATTGGGGCTGGGTGTCTATATAGGGAAATCTGCTATGTGAGCAAAGGGTACTGGAAAAGTGGCTTGGCCAAGATTGATGCTCTAAGAGCTCATTAAGGAAGAGTGCTTTAATGAAGTCAGACATAGATGGGATTGATTTTAGTTTAACTCTAGCAAAAAGCCATGGCCAAACTACAGTGAATTTCGTTATTACTTATAAAACTCCATTGGGTTACAAAATGAAGGAATTAATGCGAAATGCAGGAACAAATGAATAAATGAATAATTATTGTCTCAAACAATAAGAGACAATCAATGGAAAAGAAATTAACTCCAGTTTCTGTTCAATAACTAGGTAAGGGAAAGGATGTCCATTTCAGGTACATACGTTTCGATACACTCACAGAGGACACACTACGACAATACCTAGGACTGACAATGTTATTCCTCTAGGATAGGCAATATTTCTGAGCCTCACTCAGTATTAGGAAGTACACTTATTCTAATCATTAAACAAATAATATGTAGTACACAGTACTCATGATGTGCAAGCTAGATCTGTTAAAGGGCCAATCAACCCTAAAACAGACTACTTTTTTCTTATGTAGATGCTGCAGGGTTAAACCACACAACAAAAAATCCTTACACAAGGAACAAAACAAATGTGCACCTTCCCAATATGCTCTTTGTATTAGATTAAGAGACGCAAATAAATTATCTGGTTATCTTTTAGTTTCATGGATTATAACATTACTTCCTGTCCCAGGCCAACAATACTATTCAACCACTACTGAAATGGCTGATTTCCCTCAGCAGTGTTGGCACACAGAAGCTGTTCTGCTGACTAATTTATGCACATTTTCTGTGCAGGTCACTCTTTTCCTCTAGTGAGCATGTGCTGCTCCGACAATGCTTAGTCCAGCCTTACACAGCTACTCCCCTCCCTCACTTTTAGGAGTGGAGAGCTGTAACTTCAAAGTCCTATTATATCCTTAGCAAGGCGTGCTATTACTGCTATTATTCTGATTTTGACATAACTACTTCATGAAATCTCCACCATGCATTTGTGAACTAAAGGAACAGCATGAAGTGTCAGCAGACCACAGAGAAAAAAAAAACCCATAACATATAATGTATTTCATTAAGTAAACAGCATAGAGTGAAAAATCTATGACAGATACCATTTAGGCCATTGCTTACAGTTGCAAGAAAAAGTATGTGAACCCCTTGGGATTACGTGGAGTTTTGCATGAATTGGGCATAAAATGTGCTCTGAACGTCATCTATGTCACAACATTAGAAGAACACAGTCTGCTGAACATAATACTACACAAACATTAGATGTTGCCATGGTTTAATTGCACATAACATGTAAACATTCACAGTGCAGGGAGGAAAAAGTATGTGAACCTTTGGACTTAATAACTGGTTGACCCTCCTTTGGCAGCAATAACCTCAACCAAATGTTTCCTGTAGTTGCAGATCAGACCTGCACAACGATCTGGAGTAATTTTGGACCACTCCTCTTCACAAAACTTTTTCAGTGTAGCAATATTCTTGGGATGTCTGGTGTGAATCGCTCTCTTAAGGTCATGCCACAGCATTTCAATCGGGTTGAGATCAGGACTCTGACTTGGCCACTCCAGAAGGCGTATTCTGTGCTGTTGCAGCCATTGTTTTGTTGAATTATTTGTATGCTTTGGGTCATTGTCCTGTTGCATCATCCATCCTCTGCGGAGCTTCAGTTGGCGGACAGATGGTCGTACGTTTTCCTGCAAAATGTCTTGATAAACTCTGGAATTCATTTTCCCATCAATGATAACAATCCGTCCAGGCCCTGAGGCAGCAAAGCAGCCCCAAACCATGATGCTCCCTCCGCCATGTTTTACAGTGGGATGAGGTTTTGATGTTGTGTGCTGTGCCTTTTTTTCTCCACACATAGTGTTGTGTGTTCTTCCCAAACAACTCAATCTTGGTTTCATCTGTCCACAGTATATTTTGCCAGTAGTGCTGTGGAACATCCAGGTGATCTTTTGCAAACTTCAAATGTGCTGCAATATTCTTTTTGGACAGCAATGGCTTCCTCCGTTGTGTCCTCCCATGTACTCCATTCTTGTTTAATGTTTTCCTTATTGTAGATGTGTCAACAAAAATGTTAGCATGTGCCAGAGATTTCTGTAGGTCTTTAGCTGACACTCTGGGATTCTTCTTTACCTCATGCAGCATTCTGCGCTGTGCTCTTGCAGTCATGTATACAGGACGACCATGCCTAGGGAGAGTAGCAACAGTGCTAAACTTTCTCCATTTGTAGACAGTCTGTCTTACCGTGGACACATGAACATCAAGGCTTTTGGAGATACTTTTGTAACCCTTTCCAGCTTCATGCAAATCAACAATTCTTGATCGTAGGTCTTCTGAGAGCTCATTTCTTTTTTTTTTTTTTTCCTCCCTCCCCCACTCTACATTTTCTCTTCTCTCCTTTACACCATGTATTTCTATTATTTCTAAATCCAATTCCAGGGGTATTATATCTTCATATATTTCACCTTTTCTCTATATTCTTCCCATCCTTTCCATTTTATATTATACATCTCCATCTTGTCCATATGCATATAATACAGTTTTTCTGTCCCACAGATCTGATTCATTCTGCCCATCTAATCCTCCTCAGTTGGCACCTCTCTTTTTTTCCAAAACCTAGGTATCAGGCTCTTTGCTGCGGTCAGATAATGCCATATCCCCGATCTCTTATATGATTTCACTGGGAGTTCTGAGATATGGAGGAGACATAATTCTGGGTCTAATCCTATGTTGATTTTAGTGATTTTCCCTATCAAATAAACTATCCTCCGCCAAAACACCTGTATTTCTGGACACTCCCACCACATATGATACCACGTACCCACTTCTCCACAACCTCTCCAACATAACCGTGAAATTTCCTTATTCATCTTGTGCTCCACATTAGGGGTGATGTGCCATCTCATCAAACACTTATAATTTATTTCTACTTCCCTCATACTAATATTTTCGTGAATTAATGTGAACATTTTCCTCTGCTCCTCCTCCTCTATATCTCTTCCCATATCTCTTTCCCATTTCTCTATGTGTATTAGTTTTGTGTCAGTGTCTAATTCCATTAATATCTTGTGTATTTTTGCAATTCCGTGTCTACCATTTCCCCGTGTCTCCAATATTCTCTCAAATGGATTCCACTCTTTTCTAGTTCTTATAGGCTTTGGAAGACTCTCAAAAAAGTGTTTCAGTTGGTAATATCGTAGTCTATCCATCTTATTGAAAATTTCTCCCTTTTTTTCCTCCATGTCCTTATATGATCCAAATTCTTCCCCTACCATTATATCCCTCACTTGCGCCTCTTGTTTTATAATCCGTTTCCCTGCGATACTATCCTTTCCAGGGATGAAATATTTTGTGTTCCTTAATGGAATTAATTGTGAATTAAAAACTCATCCTTTTTGTCTGTGCAATAAATCCCATTCTCTTAAAACATTAACAGTGTACGTGCTAGTGCTATCCTCTAATCCCCTATACCAGTGATGGCGAACCTTTTTGAGCCCGAGTGCCCAAACTGCAACACAAAACCAACTTTTTTATTTCAAAGTGCCAACACTGGAATTAATCACTTGCCTACCGGGCATTTCTACCCCCTTCCTGCCCAGGACAATTTTCAGCTTTCAGTGCTGTTGCACTTAACAAAGACAATTGTGCGGTCATGCAACACTGTAACCATATGCAATTTTTATCATTTTTTCACACAAATAGAGCTTTTTTTGGTGGTATTTAATCACCACTGGGTGTTTTATTTTTTGCACTATAAATGAAAAAAGAGCAAAAAATTAAAAACATAAAAGGTTTCCTTTGCTTCTATTCTAAAATTTTGCAAACAGGTAATATTTCTTCTTTGATGTGCGTTGGTGAGGCTGCACTGATAGGCAGCACTGATGGGCATTGATAAAACGGCACAGATAGGTAGCACTGATGGGGCGGCACTGGTGAGCATTGATGAGGAGGCTCTGATGATGCACTGATATGCAGGAAATGATGGGCACTGATAAGCGGCACTGACAGCACCAACTGGAGGCACTGACAGACGGCACTGACCGGCGGCACTGCTGGGCATCATTGATGGGTGGCACTGATGGGCAGCACTAATGAGGTGTCACAGATAGGTGGCACTGATAGGCGACACTGATAATGGGTACTGATAGACAGCACTGATAGGTGGCACTGACTGACAGCACTGCTGGGCACTGACTGGCACAACCGCTGGGCACTGACTGGTGGCACTGACTGGCAGCACTGCTGGGCTGCACTGATGGGCACTGGTGGGTGGCACAGGTGGGCGCACTGTTGGGCACAGGTGGGCGCACTGTTGGGCACAGGTGGGCGCACTGTTGGGCACAGGTGGGCGCACTGTTGGGCACACTGCTGGGCACAGGTGGGTGCATTGCTGGGCACAGGTGGGTGCATTGCTGGGCACAGGTGGGTGCATTGCTGGGCACAGGTGGGCGCACTGCTGGGCACAGGTGGGCGCATTGCTGGGCACAAGTGGGCGGAACTTGTGTGTGGCACAGGTGGGCACCGATCATCAGGGCACTGATGATCAGTGACCCTGATGATCGGTGCCGATCCCTGTTCTGACAACTGCCGGTTTTCGGCAGTACTTTCCTCACGATCTGACAGCGTGAGGAAAGTGCAGCCGAGAACCGGCATTTGCATTTCCCGGTGATCAGCGTGTCATTGGACACGGCTGATCACATGGTAAAAGGCCGCTGTGATTGGCCTTTTACCATGTCACGTGATCAGCTGTGTCCGCAGGACACAGCGATCACGGAGATCGCCCGGTGCGCGCCCCCGGAGGTGCGCAGGAGAGCGCGATCTCTTCCTCTTCCTCTCTTCCTCCTGGCGTGCCCACTGAGATGGCTCTCTGCGTGCCAGCTCTGGCACGCGTGCCATAGGTTCGCCATCACTGCCCTATACTGTGCAGGCACCCAAACAATCCCACTCAAATTTGTTCTGCTCAGTGCATTCTCAATTTTAACCCAGCTTTCTGAGAGCTCATTTCTGCGAGGCATGGTTCACATCAGACAGTGCTTCTTGAAACCAGTAAACCCAAAACAGGTGTGTGGTTTTTAAGGGCAGGACAGCTGTCAGCAACACATCCAATATCATCACACTGATTGGAGTCAAGGTTGGCTCACTCCTGGCTCCAATTAGCTCTGGGAGAAGTCATTAAGCTAGGGCCTCACATACTTTTTCCTCCCTGCACTATGAATGTTTACATGTTATGTGCAATTAAACCATGGCAACATCTAATGTTTGTGTAATATTATGTTCAGCAGACTGTCTTCTTATATTGTTGTGACTTAGATGACGTTCAGAGCACATTTTATGCCCAATTCATGCAAAACTCCACGTAATCCCAAGGGGTTCACATACTTTTTCTTGCAACTGTATATGTTGACTTTTCTTCTATTTTAAATCTCTCAGTATTATATTTATAGTGGTGATATCTCTGCACTTGGGGTCCCGGGTCTGCATACATGCCATGGTTATTATGAGAAACCCTACTTTCCTTGCTGAGCTATATCAAGTAAAGAAGAGGGGGGGGGGGGGGGAAACTCAAATAAGAAGAGGGGGGGGGGGGGGGGAACTGAAATATGGCAGGCAGATCTCACTATTGGCGAGCCCACCAGACTCCATCTATAGCATAAAGTGGAAGTAAAAGCCACTATTGTTTTCAGCCAAGGAAGCTGCTATCTTGGTCTCTATTTGATCTGCAACTGCCATGATGCTGCACATGTGATCAGTTAGGATACCAGCCATTTGATAGTTTGACAGTTTGGTTGAGAGCACAACCAAAGTGACAGCTCCATTCCGCGAGTGTAACAGTTTTTTGAAACTGTTAAATTGATGGGTTTAGTTCAGCTTTAATGATTTCCTTGCACTTCCATTTTACTGTTCTTTTTGGAAATAAGCTCATCTGTTTGGCCTTTACCTTTCATATTGCTGGGCTCTAAATTCAGCACTTTCTCACAGTCATTGAATGCATTTTGCCAGTTCTTTCAGTTTAATCTCAGCTTGTGATCTGTTATTATAGGCAGCTGTGGAGGGCAACACAGATAAGCTCCTAAAATAAAAACATAGTATATATAATAATAGAGTATTCTTTTAAGCCACAGTTTTGATGTTACAAAAGCCAACTTAAAATTTAATAAGGAATGATCATTTCCATACATTTTGACTCTTCCTATTAAGAATACTCCCAAATAATGTCATGTTGTCTCGTCTCATATATATATATGTAAAAGAAGTTTTATATAAGATAATTTAAGAACATTATTCAATAAGTAGTTACTGTTTTTTTTTACCAAACTCATAAAATTCAGGGTAAAAATGCCATTTATTTGGCCCAATCTCAGGTAAGCTGCATATACTGTAAAAGGATTTTAATTATTTAATAGTCAAAAGTTGCCCAATTCAATAAATTTATCATTTGTCCCTTCTTCATCTGGCTTTTGATATTTTTGTTTCTCCACTGACAATAGTAAAACTGCAAACCAATGTACAGGTGAAACTCGAAAAATTGGAATATTGTGCAAAAGTTCATTTATTTCAGTAATGCAACTTAAAAGGTGAAACTAATATATATGAGATAGACTCATTACATGCAAAGCAAGATAGTTCAAGCCGTGATTTGTCATAATTGTGATGATTATGGCTTAAGCTCATGAAAACCCCAAATCCACAATCTCAGAAAATTAGAATATTACATGCAATCAATAAAACAAGGATTGTACATAGAACAATATCGGACCTCTGAAAAGTATAAGCATGCATATGTACTCAGTACTTGGTTTGGGCCCGTTTTGCAGCAATTACTGCCTCAATGTGGTGTGGCATGGAAGCTATCAGCCTGTGGCACTGCTGAGGTGTTATGGAAGACCAGGATGCTTCAATAGCGGCCTTCAGCTCTTCTGCATTGTTCGGTCTCATGTCTCTCATCTTTTTCTTGGCAATGCCCCATAGATTCTCTATGGGGTTCAGGTCAGGCGAGTTTGCTGGTCAATCAAGCACAGTAATCCCACGGTCATTGAACCAGGTTTTGGTGCTTTTGACAGTGTGGGCAGGTGCCAAGTCCTGCTGGAAATAAAGTCAGCATCCCCATAAAGCTGGTCTGCGGAAGGAAGCATGAAGTGTTCCAAAATCTCCTGGTAGACGGCTGCGTTGACCCTGGACTTAATGAAGCACAGTGGACCAACACCAGCAGATGACATGGCTCCCCAAATCAACACAGACTGTGGAAACTTCACACTGGACTTCAAGCATCTTGCAGTGTGTGCCTCTCTCATTCTTCCTCCATACTCTGGGTCCTTGGTTTCCAAATGAGATGCAAAAGTTGCTCTCATCAGAAAAGAGGACTTTGGACCACTGAGCAACAGACCAGGTCTGTTTTTCTTTAGCCCAGGTAAGATGCTTCTGACGTTGTTTGTTGTTCAGGAGCAGCTTGACAATACGACATTTGAAGCCCATGTAGTCCAGGATCCGTGTGTGTGTGGTGGCTCTTGATGCACTGACTCCAGCCTCAGTCCACTCCTTGTGAAAGTCCCCAACACTTTTGAATGGCCTTTCCTTGACAATCCTCTCCAGGCTGCGGTCATCCCTGCTGCTTGTGCACCTTTTTCTTCCACACTTTTCCCTTCCACATAAGTTTCTATTAATGTGCTTTGATACAGCACTTTGGGAACATCCAACTTCTCTTGGAATTACCTTTTGAGGCTTTCCTCCTTATGGAGGGTGTCAGTGATGGTTTTCTGCACAACAGTCAGGTCAGCAGTCTTTCCCATGATTGTGATTCCTACTGAACCAGACTGAGAGGCCATTTAAAGGCTCAGGAACCCTTTGCAGGTGTTATGGCTTAATAAGCTGATTAGAGTGGGACACTTTGAGCCTAGAATATTGCACCTTTTCACAATATTCTAATTTTCTGAGATTGTGGATTTGGGGTTTCCATGAGCTGTAAGCCATAATCATCACAATTATGACAAATTACGGCTTGAACTATCTTGCTTTGCATGTAATGAGTCTATCTCATATATTAGTTTCACCTTTTAAGTTGCATTACTGAAATAAATGAACTTTTGCACGATATTAAAATTTTTTGAGTTTCACCTGTAGTTAGACTTTTAGAGAAGGTTGCAATAAAAAAAAAATTCACTGGATTTTAACTTTAAAGCTTACCTTTTAGCTGCGAGGTTCTTGGCTAAATATAAAGTGGTTGTAAAGGCTCAATGTTCTTTACCTTTATGCCTTCTATGCGTGCAGGTAAAAAAAACCTTCTGTGTGCAGCAGTCCTCCCAGGCCTCCGAATACTTACCTGTGCCCTATCGCGATCCAGCGATGTTCACAAGAACCTTGGCTGTCCCGGGTCTCTGCCTCCTCATTTGGCTGAAACAGCAGCGAGAGCCACTGGCTCCTGCTGCTATCAATCACAGCCAGTGAGCCAATAAGGAGACATGGGGGGGGAGTGAGCCACAGCTCAGTGTGTGAATGGACATACGCAGCAGTGGCTCAAAAGCACGCCTTCTCGAGTGCCCCTATAGCAAGCTGCTGGCTATGGGGGCATCCAACAGGAAGGAGGAGCCAGGAGCTCCAGCGAGGGTGTGAGAAGAGGAGGATCCAGGCTGCTTTGTGCAAAACAAATACACTGAGCCCGTAAGTATAACAGAAAACCAAAACTGAACCTTTAATACCGCTTTACCTTTGTACGTTCATGTGTATTTTTTTTTCACAAGATAGCAGCATATGGTTAGGTGAATTATGCTGTGCCCAAACTGGCCCTACAGTATGTATGAGTGTGAATGAGTTAAATGTGATCGGGACACAGGATTGTACGCTTCTCTGGGGTAGGAACTGATGTCAATCTATGTAATGTGTAGTATGTCAGTGTTATATAAACTACAATTCCTGCCTTACCTGCTGTAATATGATATGGCCTCCTCATAGTCTCCACTTCTGAAGGCCTCATTTCCTTTTTCCTTCTCCCTTTGTGCAAGAAGGTTCTTCTGCTCCAAGATCAGACCTGGAAAGGAGTCTTCCAGTTACACACAACTGTACGATTTATATAAATGACTGAGGCCCACATTCTTACAATAAATCTTATCTAATTCAAGCCAACTAATGATAAACATTATAATATTAACAAGAACAGGTATGGAAGATAAGCAGTATTGTCATGTTTCACATGACTGTCATATGCCTTTAAGTGTTTCTATATTTTGTTTCTGCTCCTCCCTTTTCTTTGATTTAGTTAATGCTGTATAGATAGCCCTCCCCCTTTCCCAGAAATGCATTGCAGCTCTAGACTCATGTCACGGAGCAGGAAACATTATGATCTTTTGACCTATCAAATGTTCATTGTTGTAAGATTCTCTCAGTTTATGGAATAAACTTCACAAGATCTACAAGATGTCTTATCGATTGAGCCACTGACTGTGGTATCCAGCTTAGGCTGAAGTTATCGCTATCTCATCACAACTGTAAGTTACAGAGATCACACTATCAATGCTTAGATTGAAGAGGCAGAACAAGTATGGTTACCTGATGTGTCTATTGATTTCTTTATTTTTGCAGCTGTTGTATTTTTTACCATCTTGGACTGTTCAGTTTTCTCAGTGTCCTCATCAATTTTTGATAGTTCTTTTTCAATATCAAACCTAACATATAACATAATATCCATAAGTGTAATACAAATTGGCAACACAACATTGAATTAAACCTTTTTTTTTGTATAAAGCAGCAGAAATATATATATTATATACATTTACCTTTTTATTTCTAATACATTTCCATTTCTAATAGATCATTTTTAGAACTGCTTCTGGCATAAAAAATTAGGTTGGCATTGTATTAAAACAGAGGTGTTTAGGCAAAAAGTAAGCGTGGTTATTTTGCCTTGAATCCCCCAAAAGCATTAGGCTTGGTTCACAGCTTTGAGTTGCAGGAATTGATGACATTCAATGCACCTTGCCAATGCATGTGTGTTTTACTGCACCACAAGTTTGTTCCAATGAAAAGGCTACCCTAACACAAGATACATTACTGCACAAAGTAACACACGTCAATGTGCTTTGTGTTAACATACCACAAAAAAGTGAACCCATTCTAATGATTAGTAGCAATAATACATATTAGCATTAAAATACTCCCACCACCACCACCAATGGTGGTCAGGGGCACTTTAAAAATCCCCACTTTGAATCACGAGCCATCCTGTACTGCTGCTGCCTTTTTCCTCCTCTCCATACTTCCTACAAATCGCTGCAATACTCCTTCACAAGAGAGGAAAGAAGGGTTGTAAATGCAGGCAGTGTTTACACTTGTGATCACTGTGATTGGTTCAAAACGACTGCAAGGCACAGAGCTACTCTGATTAACTCTGTGTTTATGACAGCGCAATCACTAGCACCATGCGCGCGTCTAGTATTCTAGTATGTGCACACACTGTAAGTACAAGAATGCTTAAAACAACATAATTTGTGTATTTCACACATAACAGAAACACCTCTAACTTACAAACAATAAGCATGTAACACCTATATATTATTTATTCTTACCTGGATTTTCCTTTTGTAAAACTGCAGTTGACTCCAATTGTAATATGATTTAACAATAATATTTTGAGTCAAGGACATCTTATGTCTCAGAGTCATTTAGGTCTTATTGCATTATATTCAGAATATCAGACTGTTTAAAATTATTATTTTTATTATTTATTATTACAGATTATTATATATGCAGTACTTTATTTATTACAGGTACTTATATAGCGCCGTCAATTTTACACAGCGCTTTAGATATATATTTTACATTCACATCAGTCCCTAACCCTCAAGGGGTGCACCATCTAAAGCAGTACTTACTACACTTGATCACCACCTAACCAGCAGTAGTTAATAAAAGCACCAGCAATATTTATTCTCACTACTGATTTCTCACCTGTCCCAGTCCCTGTAATTTCGGAGCACTTTATGGACGCCAGCACGATTTTCTTTTTTGATAGGCTGAAACAATACGTAAGATCAAATGTTACTAAAAAAAAAAAATCAGACTGAGATTGATTGTAAAAATTAGTTCAACCCCAATGAAAAAATATAGTAAAGGAAATTTACTAATTCTGGAGCAAGATTCTGGAGTGCATGGCAACCAATCAACTTCCAGGTTTAATTTTCAACCCTTAACTGAACAAGCTGAAAATTGAATCTGGCAGGGGATGTGTCCTATGCCTCCATACGTTTGCTAATAGGTGTCCCTCGTTACTGTCTCAAAAAGTTGGGAGGTATGGGTACCACTGTTGGTCACAGCACAGAGAATTTGCAATGTGTGTTTGTCTAGTATTGACATTGTTGCCATTTTAACCATTATGCTGCATGCATTATTTTTCAGGGGGTGCAGGGAGTGACATATATGTTACATTTGATATCAGTGAAAAGGCAGAATCTTTTAATAATGACATTTAAGAATTTGGATGTTTCCATCTGCATTTTCTTTTTGTTTATGCATACATTAAAAATTTAGCTTTCACACTGTAAGCTGTATTACTAGCAGAATAAAAGTTCCATTTAGCAAGGCAGGTCCACCATAGAATGTATGAACTGGTTTCCAAAGAGTATGTGCTTAGCCCTAAACCTCAGTTCATACTTGGGCAATTAGGAATGGCAGCAAAACACGTGATGTGTGTTTGGGTGCCATTCATCCTGAATGGCACCCCAAATGTGATGCAATTCTGCCAAGATTGTTGCATGACAAAACACACATGTAAAATTGTGCCTGGCTCAGGGACCAAATTTGGTCCCTGAGCTTCTTTTCCACAAGAAATGCACATAGGACAGCACATTCCCTTGCACAGAATTGCATGAGAATCACCCACAGAAAATTGCGAGTGGGAAAGAGGGTTCTGCTACTTGCAACGTGACTAAATCCAAAAACATACTATATTGCAGATTACTACTACCTAGATGGAGTGACTGCATTTGTTTTTTTTTCTTTTCAGGTTAAACATTTTCAAAAATACATGCTAGAAATGTCACATCCTTGTCACTCCCTGTGAGCTTGCCAGAAAGTGCAACAACCTTATCTTCCTTGTTTACACGTTAAACCCCTTCAGCCCCTATGTAATAAGGATGACCAAATGTAGATACGCATGAAGTTCAGCCTGGATGGCAGTCATGGCTCCCTCCATACAGTGGAGAAGTTATTGTAGCCACCCAGGGATAGGAAAAGTGTTATTCACAGGATTACCAGGTGAAAATTGAGTGAAAAAGTAAAACTAATGCAGGCTCCTCATCCAAGATCTGGCAAACTGCAATATATTACATTTCTGTTTTTGAACACAATTTATTGAAGTGGTAACTAGAACGTTAAAAAAGCACAACTGGTGCAGTCAGGTGATTTCAAGTTCTTATATATTATTATACAGGATTTATTTATATATATATATATATATATATATATATATATATATATATATATACAAACGAAGAAAGCTGAAGAAGTTAACACAGTAAACTGCAGAACAAAGCAATGAAAAGATATCCCATTTTAATCATATCATCACAAAATTAGAACCTCATTAGGTGTGGAGTTACTGGGAACACTGCGAATAGGAGGCAGGTTGTCCATAGTTTTCTCCAAGACAGGTTTCTGTTGTTCTTTAAGTTTGATGTCAGTTAAAAAATTCTGAAAAATAAATGAAAATAATCAATTGAAATGCTTACGTTACAATCTAACTGGGAGAGTCAACCTACTATAATCACACGACCAGCAGCGGACTGACAAATCATGGGGCCCCCAGGCAATAGGGGATCATGGGGCCCCTGTGTCCTTGCCCACACTCAAAGCACACCCAAAAAAGCCTATAAAAAGGTACCAGGGGCATTTCATGGGGCCCCCTACTGACCCCGGGCCCTCAGGCAATGCCAGAGTGCTTGAATGGTTAGTCCACCCCTGCACACGACCAGGGGCGGACTGACCATTTGGAAACTCGGGCACTGCCCAAGGGCCAGAGTCAGTAGGGGGCCCCATGAGATGCCCCTGGTACCTTTTTCCATAGGCTTTTTTGAGTTTAGGCAAGGACACAGGGGCCCCATGATCCCCTATTGCCCGGGGGCCCCATGAGTTGTCAGTCCGCCCCTGCACACGACTAGTGTAACAATGAAATTTAGCATTAATGCTAAATTTCATCTTCTAGCATACAGTTCAAAATGCAGCAAGTATGTCCTAAATGTAAAATTCATATTGCAGGATGTTTTTTTTTTTAAGTGTATCTAAACCCAAAAACCAAAATATATTATTGTGCAGCTTACAAGTCCTTAGATGTGGTGACTGCATTAGTTTTCTTGTTTCATATAGTTTTTTTTTTTCACCTGGTAATCCTGGGATCTCTAATAACACACTTCCTGTCTCTGGGTAGCTAGTCTCACTCCTTTACTGTGGCAATGTGGGCAGCCATTGTTGCCACACAAGCTGGACTGCAAACATGTCTCCCATTCATGGAGGATAAGGAGATTAAAGCCCTAAACTAAATACATACCAAATGCATCAACACAAAAGATCAAAGTACAAGGTCTTAAAGTTTTTCCTTATAAATGTCTTTAAAAATCAGCCTGAGTGGAAAAGCCAGTCCGTTGCAAGCAACCTACAGAGTGGGACTCTGGTCTCCATGGAGAAACAGTGATCTCTTTGAAGAGGTCTGACATACCCCTCGCTGAATCAGAGGTAGAAATCTCCAATCAGCTAATTGCACAGCTATGGGTCTGATGAAGTATGAACCATGTCAGGCAAGCCTACACTATTATATTATTTATTTACACTGTTTGTGGGTATCAGTTAGAGTGTTACAGCTTGTTCACAGGGAAAGGGGAGGCTTTTATACAGCGACTGGGTTGCTTATAGAAAAATATAAACCATGTAAGACCTCTGGGAGACATCTATGCACAGTGGATCGGGTGGGAAAGGCAGCGATTCCTGCACCTACAACCACCTGCAGTGAAAATGTGCTGCTGAGAAAAACACGGGGGGCTGCCATTTATTCTGAATGGCACCCCCAAGTATGTAAAAATGCAGCACGTTTGAGGCTGCAGGAACCGCAGGGAAATCATATGATCAAAAGGACCATACGATTTACCTGCGGGACACGTTTCAACAAAGGTGCATGCACCTTTTCCAATGGGAAACACAGGCATGGCAGCCCATTAAAATGAAAGGTGTGAACAAGGCATTAGACATTTTGATGGACCTGGAATGTATTTAGCTGATTTATACTGAGGGTTCAATTGGGCTTTAATAGTTTACTGAAGAAACACAACATTTTTTTTGCTTCCAGTTCATCTAACAGGAAGTGACAAGGACAATGCAAAATTAACTGGTATTCTTCTGTACTTGCTGAAAATGTCCTTAGCCTGAAAAAAAGAGAACCAACACAGTCACATATTAGGGCGTTTAAAAGGGAAAAGACACATGTGACCTATTTTTAATGGTACATATTGGAAGGAGAGCGTCAGGGGGGAGTGACAACTCATTAGGCCCCCGGCAATAGGGGATCATGGGGCCCCTGTGTCCTTGCCCAAACTCAAAAAAGCCTATTAAAAAAGGTACCAGGGGCATCTCATGGGGCCCCCTAATGACCCCGGGCCCTCAGGCAGTGCCTGAGTTTCCAAATGGTCAGTCCGCCCCTGGTGAGCGTACATGTTTGGCCTTTTGGTGGTGGAATTCCTCTTTTTCTACACCGAGGGATTCACAAAATTTATAATTAAAGATTTTTCTGGTTACTGGTTTGTGACACCGATTTACATGTGAATGAATTTTTTTTGTTGTTTTATAAGATGGAGTTAATTGAGTATATCTCACTTTTGGGTAGGCAGAAAGACATTATCACTTGCAATATATTTGGATTGATTTACATATTTGGTATTCATTTGATTTGGCACAGCAGTATTTTTACACAAAGCGAGATAGATTTATTTTGTGGAAGTGTGATGACACTTTTGATGCTGCAGCTTTATTATTATTTATTGTTGATTTAACATTTTCAATTGTTTGAGTTTTTTGGGTAGAGCAAAAAAGGTTTCAGCCTGTGGCACTGATTTATAATAGTGTGTTTTTTGGCTGCCATTGCTCTTTTATTCACTTGAAGAAAGTGGACACACAGGACAAAAGCAAGTAAAATAAGTTTTGAGCTTTTGAAGAAGGGCAGAACTCTCAGGAGTTCAGCATATGAAAAAAATCAGTGCGTATTTTTCAAGCTCAAATCTGGATCCAGCCCCCTAGAATCCAATCCCCTGCCGCCCCCCATGGTGTATTTTATATTTTGTTTTTAATTATTACCTTTTCTAGATGTCAGAGTAGTGATGCCATCAGCACAGCTCTCTGCTTCAATATAAACGGCAATGCCCCCTTTAGATGGTGTGGCCATGATTCATTCATAATATGTCCTTAGCCCTCCAGGTTTAATGACACCTGGCAGACTGAGGGCATCTTATGATGGAACAGAAGACCTGCAGGAAATGGCCCCAGATATATTGTGAGCAATGCAGCCTTGGTTTCTTTTTTCTTTCTTTTTTACCCTGTATGCTGGTAAAAAGAATGGCTTTAATACACAACAAAGCACTTCTTACCTTAAAGTCATTATCAATTTGGTTCCAATCTTCCCAGGAGAAATCAGCAGCAGTTGTTGGTGGTTTGTCTTTTCTCAAAGCACGGCTCTGTGGAGACAGACTTTCAATGCGCTTCTCACAGAACTCAGTCAGGTCCGGGTAATGTCCTTCCTCCCTAGATCTTAGTAAAATACAGAAATTGAAGTATAAATAGGAGAAATAACAGGGATATACATAAGGGACCTCTGCCAGAAGCAAACTAGTCAATGTACAGTACGTACCGTAGTAAAATTCTCCTCTAGGTAACAACAGGATGTTCAAAAATATAAATGCCCCAAAGTAATTTACAAAAAAACACCTGCCCTGTAAAAGAACAGGCACTATACTCACAGTTCTGGGGGCCAATGTTCTGAAACGCCGCTGCAATTATGTCACAGTTCCGGGTGTGTGAATACCTGCACCTACAGCAGAAGGCAGTGGATTCTCCCTGTCACTACAGGGCATAATAGCCAGTGGAAAGAACTATTCAGTGGAGCAGGGGGATCAGGTATTTGACATATCTGACTTATTGAATACCTGCAGCAACCGGAGAACAGTGGCATTTCAAGACATGAAGACCCGGGAAGGAAAGAATAGTGCCTTTACTTTTACAGAGCAGATGTTTTCGTAAGTAAACCTATGATGACAGGGTCACTTTAAAGTATTCCCGTCAGGTTTAAGCTGACAGACTGTAGTGCTCATGTCCAGCCACTTTGTGGTGTTTGCAGGTACCTGTGTTATTCTCCAAATCATTCTGCCTCATTGTGGAACCTCTTTAGATTCCAGGCCCAAATCAGATCTTATAGTGTAGAGTATGGTCAGCCATAAGCTGGCCACCATGCATAGAACACATTTTGGCCAGTTCCTGATGAACCAGACTAAATCTGCTCCATGGGTGGCCCTGTTGGCACCCCCCCCCCCTAGTCCCACCTGACAAAATCCTTTGGTTGAAAAAAAAAATGAAGGAGCCAGGTGGAAAACTGTAGGCCGAACAGCACCTGCATTCAATCACATAAAGGTGGTATTTGGACAGCTGGTAGTGCCTGCTGACAGAAAAGTAACAGCTGCTGCAAGAGATATGTCCATCCATGCAGTTTATTTTGGATGAAGAAATCTGTTAGATAGAAGAGCTTTAGGTTAGCCAGTTTTACATACACTCCTTCAGTCAGTGGGCTGAATTAGAGTAATATAGTAGATTTATCTCACACTGCCAGCTATTGTACTCCATTGTGGATTGTACTCCGTGGCTGCCTCAGTACCTGGACAGTGACTGCATCTGATAGGATGCAGTCACTGTTCGGCCATTACTTTTCCACCTGGCTTCTTTGTTTTTCTTTTTCTTAAATGAAGCTTGTCCCTGGGCCAGGCGGTGGCTTGAATGTCAGCCAAAACTTCAGCAGGAAGCAGCTGAAATCCAACAGCCTTGCATGGCCAGTGCCTGTACAGAAATGTGCTGCAAGAGATGCTTGACCATTGCAGTTGGGGATGTAAAATGTTAGATTTAGAGCGTTGATAACTCCTTCAGTCATGGGCTGAATTAGAGTAATATAGTAGATTTATCTCACACTGCCAGCTATTGTACTCCGTGGCTGCCTCAGTACCTGGACAGTGACTGCATCTGATAGGTGCAGTCACTGTTCGGCCATTACTTTTCCACCTGGCTTCTTTGTTTTTCTTTTTCTTAAATGAAGCTTGTCGGACCAGGCGGTGGCTTGAATGTCATCCAATTCAGCAGGAAGCAGCTGAAATCCAAGCCTTGCATGGCCAGTTGTAGAATGTGGGAGAGCTGACCATTGGTTGGGGAGTAAATGCCAGGCTTCAGATGATCTCTGAATAGCTCAGCAATGGCAGCCCCCATAATTCCATCCTACAAAGCTGCTACTGCTCTCTTCCGAAAATACTAGTTGCCTGGCTCCTATACTGCCCCCCTTTGCTTAAATACTTATTGGATCAAGTATTTAGCAAACTTCTGACTTTTATCTGACATTCTTGATTTGCGTGCCTCTGTCAGGT